AAAAAAAAAAAGAGCAAAAGTCAGAATTGATTTTCCCACCTAAAAGGTGGGAAAATCATTTCCCCTCACGCCTAGAAATGGGCGCGTGAGGGGAAAATCATTCCCTCATTTGCCTGGCAAAAGATTGCCTCTCAAACACCAATAATTGACTGAAAATGGAAAATCTTTTCCTTTTCCATTCATTTTCCACCCTATCAAACACACCCTAAAATCTATGATTTCAAACATTTCTCCAAAATCAATTGCAATGTCAAAATCTCACCCCCTCAAATCATGAATAATAACATAGAAAAGTAAAAAAAAAATAAAAAAAAAATGATAAGATCAAATATAAAACAAATACATACGAAGGAACAAAACTCATATACCAATAAGCTTGGATATATTTTGACAGCATTATTTCAAAAAAAAATAATTAACAAAATCTAATTTTTATTGTTAACAAACCCCAATTTTAACCAACAAAAACTTTAATTTTTGCCCATGGAAACTTTACCATCAACTTTCATTTCAACTCTAGAAATTAATCGATGCTAATTTGAAATAAGTATGAAAAACAAAAACCTCGAATTCCAATTCGGCAATAGTAGAAAAAAATAAAAAATTCAGAGAAGTAATTAGGACACAGTTGAGATTTCTAGGAGAATTAAAAAAAACCCAGAAATTAAATTGGATTATAATGAAAATTAGAGCAACAAAGAAAAAGAAATCAACCTGGGTTTGAAGAAGTTGAGATGGAGTGTTTCTCTTCCTCACCCAAAGCGTTTATGGCCTATGGCTTGTCTACATAATTTTTGAAAAAAAAAATAATAATAAATTTGTTGGGTAAGTGGACCCCACGTGGGTCCGTCCCTGGACATTACAATATTTCTATAAGGTTTAAGGTAGTGTAACAAAGCACAAGAAAGAATGAAAAATAAACGTGTCTACAATACACATTATTTGATAAGACGGGACTTTCACAACATCTAAAGTTTTTAAGTTTCTTTTCTTTTTTCATAGCATTGTCTAGCACTCCACAATTCACCTCACAAATGGTGGCGCGGCAGCACTTTCAATATTATTGAGTTAGAGAAATGATGAATTTGACATGTTCAAAAGGGCCATTAGATTTATTTATTTTTTTAACTAGCTAATTTAGAAATCCTATGACCACAAATGTAAACATGATTGCACGCTTGTGGAAGACTTTTGCACCTTTAGCTTAAAAATAAATTAGACTAACAGAAAGCATAATTACTAGCTTGACCATAAATTTACACACTATCATGTCCATCAAGACTAAAATGCAGTCAAATTTTCCGAAATATACGACAAAATCTAAATCCACACACCATATCAACAAAATTCAAAGCATCATTACTTTCTTTTGAGTAAGGTAGTATTATTACCTTCGTATATTCACATTTAGATCAATTGAAAAGTGGAGCAAGTCCATATTCTCACAACAGTACAGGGGAATCTAAATTATCAAAAATGAATGAATACAGTAGGTCTTGAATACCATTTCAAGGGAATAGAGACTGTCGATGAGAAACGTCTCATCTATGATCTATAACAATGGGTTCGTGAAGGGTAAAAATGCAGTCATGCTTACACGTTTACAGTGAACAGGTAGAGTCTAAGTACCAAAGCGAGAGCCAGCTGCAACAGGAAGATGCCAGCCACAATCAAGAACCAACTTTCACCAGCAGACCTAATGTGGTTTCTGAGGTTGAGGGCAACAAAAGTAGCAGACATGAACCCTGCCACACCCGCAACAACCCATCTGAAGATTTCATAAGGTATAACGGAGAGACCCTGCCAAGCAATAACAATCGCGATTCACCAATCCAATAAATACCCTTTCAGCTATAAGAATATGTTTGGTATATAGTACTGAACAGACTACAGTGAATAGTATAATAAACAAGATTTAAATTAATTATTCCTTTAATACAATCCAATTGAATTCAATGTGAAGATCAGTCAAAACTTCAAGTTTAAACTTACCAAAGTGGGAATAAAGACAAAGAGGGAGTAGCCATATAGACAAAACAGCTGAGCAAGTCCGGATGGAGCAGAGAAGTATTTGAGAACTATATACAACAGAACTGGCACAATAGTGACATAGCCATAGAACAAACCAGCAGACCAAGTAACCAAATTGATATCATAATTCCATTCCTTCTTCTGCAGTTTGTGTGCTAAGTACGTAACAAATGTACCAATAGAAGCTGCCACAAATATTAAGGTTGTGCATATCCAGAATGGGCCATACCTACGAAGCACGGAAGATTAACAACAACACTAAATTTTGAAGGAAAAAGGAAAATGATGAAAGAAAGAGATGCCTCCATCAAATAACTTATTTCATGTGCATTTCAGTAATACATTAGGAATTATTACAAGGTTTCATATTATATGCCAAATGCAATTCTTCCTGACTAAAAGTTCAATGAAATTAGCTTAAAGACAAGAAAGGGCAAACCTATCCAAAAGGTATTATTGCTATGTCCTTACAATTTAATGCTATTTAAACAAATTGAATCTTTATTATAAAATTATCATCATTGAGGTGAGATCTATAGGGATAAGATCAAAGCACAGTTTTAACATGGAGGCAACTGTTTTTAAGTTGAAGGATGAGGTCCAGAACTATATTGTCATGGGTTCAGACCGCACCAGCAGGCACTAGTCTAATTATATACAAATATTTTTCCCACTAACGTGGCTTTGCATTAGTCAATTTCTTATCGAATGTTTATGTTAATTTTATTATCTCTAATGAGCTGTACTTACATTGTATTACTTAAATGATGATGATGATGATGATGATATAATTCATCCCAATAAATAGACATCAACAAGAGTCCAAAGAAACCATACCAACATAGTTACACTGCTCCTGACAACTTCTATTCAAGAAGATCAACAGAAAGAAGGGTTTAATTCAACAGGGTCAGCCAGCAAGGAGGGAACTTATGTTGTACGGATTGTACCACAATTACAGTGTTTGCAACAAACAATACTCAGTTACTTAGATCTGCCAATGGCCCTACATCACAGGTTCTCATAAACTTGAAAATCTCAATAAGTCGGGCATCTTTGAGGCTCCCATCTTAATAAAACGAAATTCTATTAGAAAATTTTGTGCAATCAAATATTTGGTCTAATACTATGAAATACAGCCAGTCTAGGTGGGCATGTGGGATGTGCACATCCCTACATATAAATGACTCTACCCACTTAAAAAAGACTGCAATATTGATCTCAATGCTTGAAATACAAATGCATGTTTGAGATCATCAAGTGAATGCTGTTAGAGTGAAAATTGTGCTCTCATTATATTTTCTTCAGGTTAACATGAATCGAAGCAGCATTCAAAACACACATTTCTTATCTATTATACCAGACATTATATTCATCATTTTACAGATGACTCATTAATCATGTTTCTGTGTCAGTTCCAAAAAAAAAAGTCTAAGTCCCATATTGAAGTGTTTGTGCCCAGAATGAATTGGAAATAGCATCACAACTTACAAATCTGGGTTGTTAGCAGTCTTCTCAGTGAAGCTTCCTCGGAAAGGAAAGAGTGAATCTTTTATCCTTTCCAAAACATCAGATGTGTCAACATCAAAATAGGGCCTGTATGCAGCAATGGTAAAAGTTCGAAACCAACCACCTTGCTCTGGGGCATCAGTACCAGACGAAGTTTTGGAGAATGTATCTACATAAATAAAACAAATCCAATTTATCTAAAAAATGAATTCAAAATAAGAAAAGAATGGAAAGGCAAGGCAAGGCAAGGAAAACACAGGTAAATATATCCTAATAGACCTGCATACAAGAAAACAAAGTGATGGAAATCCTATTAGATTATTTTCCATGTTTAGATTCTTATTTGGGAAAAGTTATTAGGGTTTATTTACTAGGTTTCCTAGGATTTTATTGTGTTCATTTAATAGATTCTCTAGAATTTGATTAGATGTTTCCTATTTATAATAGGTTTTTTTGGAACTCTATAAAAAGGGGGCTTATGCATTGTAATAGATATAACTTTGAGAATGAAATAAATATACTTCTCACTGTTAAATTCTACGTCTATCTGTCTAATTCCTCTCCCCTTTCTATCTCCCCCCTTCTCTTTTTCCCTCATTTCTCTTCTTCTCTCCCCTTTCCCTTGCTCTTATCACTGTTTGATTGCTTCCTATGTCAAATAGTCTCTTGAGACATTTCAACATTACCATGTAAAACTTAATGAGCTCTATCTATTTTTTTTTTCCTCTTTTTCGTGTTTCTTTTTTTGTTTATGTTCCACAAGGATCAGATAAATTTTGGTGCAGCTCAAAGCCACTGACCTAAATCTGAAAACAAGAATGTATCCTGGCACCAAACTTCACAGCTTTTGCATTATGCCCTGAATGGTGCCACTAATTTTTAACTTATCCATGTAGGAATTTCTCAAAGAGAAAATACCAATCTCCCTACCAACAGAATCACCTCACTCCAGTTTGTTACTGTAGCAGTTTTAGGCATATTATAGATCCCTGTTTATAGATAACTAAAAGCATCATGTTCCCTAAGTATCAGCATTGATGCCATCATTCAATAAAGTGCAGGTACTTCTAGACCAATAAAATCACTGTTTGCACTTGCGAGGTTCCTAATGAAAATGATCCCTGGTCAAACAAACTCCATGTTCACAATCAAATGCAGACACCATTAACAAAAGCAAGAACATCACCATATTGCTTCTACTAAAAGATTAGGATATGGACCCAAAAGAAATTCCAGGTTCTGGCCAAAAGCTTAAACAGATGACAGAACCATTCAGAATCAGCCAAAAAGTTTAGACATGGCATAAAGATCAAAAACTTTATTCTTGTTATGACATGGTACTCAATACACAGAACTTTAGCAGGACTGTAAAATTTCCTAGATGAGAAGTGATAGAATTAGGGGGCAAGAGGTCATAAACTTCAGCATACGAACAACAGAAAAAGTAGAAATGGGCAAACTGGAATTTAAAAACGGAATAATATTTTGGACTTTGTGATTCAAAAAGAGAACCTCACCTAGTAACTTTCGAAATGGAAAGAATTGTGCACTAGATTTCTTTCTTACTAGGAAGGTGGAAAGGGCTTCAGATAGTTTCTAGAAAGAGCCTAACTATAAAATAGAGGTTGGGTGGTACTTGAAATGGTTACTAAGAAAAAGAATAGAAGTTCTAAACATGTTCAAATTCGTATAGTCGAAAACCAAAGGGGTGACAGTGGATTTCCAGGCAGTAACAAATGAAAAACAGAGTCTTGCAATTGCAAATGTAAAACAGAGATTGGAGGGAAAAGGCTGAAAAGTTATTGCTTCATATTGTTTTTAATACAAGGGGACTTGTTCCAAAAGTACAAAACTTGGAAATACTAAAGCACTGAAAGCTATTAAATATGAAAAACTTCATAAAAAAATGGATCAAATGGTAAAATAGTTAAAACCCCAAGAATCATTTATTGTCTTGAGAAGATGATGAATATTCCTCTTGATAGCTTTGTGGGAGAGAAAATCTGCTTTGACAGATCCTTTGGCCAACGCAGAACAGTAACAAAGGTCAATGCAAAGGTCTCCAAGAACTAATTTGATTTTATATGAGAGATACACTGTGAAAGTCATTTACTTAATTCAAGATTAGTGAAAAGAGTACATACACAAAATAAATACTGGCAATAATTTTTATTTGATAGGTGAAAAACCTATAATGGAGTCCTATAAGGCTATTATAATGATATAGAATAAAAGCAATTTTAATTAGATATATCGATATGAGTGATGGTCCGATGGGTCATTCATGAGTGTGACATGTAGTCGCAATAGGTTTAGAAAAATTTCTATTTGCATCAAGGCTATAGCATGAATCCTTATTTTTTGTTATAATCATGGATCAGCATACAAGACATATCCAAGATAATGCCCCTCGGTATCTCTTGTTTGCTAAAAACATAGTTTGTTAGACTGAAAGGATTAAGGGAAACAAATCATATGTTAGAACTTTGGAGAAGCACATTAGAATTTAAAGGTTTCAGGTCGAGTATAACAAGGACAAAATATATGGAATGTTCTTTTAGTTATAGTACAAATAAGTATAGTAGAGTCAATATAGAGTATCACATTGTTCAAAAGTAACTGTTTTAGTTATTCAGGATTCCCTGTTCATAAGAAATGAGGACCTGAGGGGGAAGTTATGCGCATGATTGAAAAGAATATAATGAGATAGTGAACTACTAAGAGAATTCTATGTGATAGGAAAATACGTATAAAGCTGAAAGGTAGTTTCTACATACAAAATCTTAAACCAGTTATAGACTATTGGGCCATCAGAGGCAATATTCATAACAAATAAAAGTAGTGAGTATGAGAGTGTTTGATGGGGATTAAAATGAGATTTTTAGTAGATTGTGATAGAAATTTTTGAAATGTGTGATTGAAAAGTTGTGGCACTCATAAAAGATGTGGTTAATATTGATTCTTTGACCTTGACTTGGATTAAAATTCAGACCAAACGGGGGGCCTAATATTTAAAATGTTCAAAAGAAGTGGAAAACGCATAAGCCTAGACACCCTTACTCATTTCACTTCTAATGATAACAATAAGTCAATACCATCAAGAGACCTAATTACCAGAGATTTTAAAAGCAGAACAGTATGCGAAATTAAACATTAACTCCCCTTATATTGTACAACAAGATAAACCACACAAATGGATACTTGATTAAACAAAAATACCGTCTGCATCACGAGGAGGTCCAGCGGCACCGGAGATCTTCCCCTGAGGACCTGAAGGCGGAAATGTCTGCAGATTCGACTCTGCAATATCCAATAAATCTCAACACAATAATCCTATGAAAAAAGAAGAAGAATTGTAAAATAAATAGAACTAACACGAGTAATTAATACCTGAAAATTTGACAGAAACATGGCCAGGTGGATCTGCGACTGCCTACAACAACCAAGATCATAAACAAATTGGATAATTGCAAACAGATCTATAACTCAAAAAGAAAGAAAAAAAGAAATGAGTGAGATTATGTAATTACGGGAACAGATCCGGTGACATTTTGATTGTCAATCGATGTATAATTGCCGGACATCATCTTGGCTTCAGTCCTTCCGCAGCTGATAATCAAATTAAACGATACTTATAACTGCAGAATTTCGGTAAAATCTTGGAAGGAGTGGGCCGTTGTTGAGGTCTCAGACAAATAGACGCGCATCTACCTTTCTAATGTCAGCACCGCGCTTTGCGACCTTTTTTCCTCATGTCAATAAAATATCCCAACTGCCACTTTACTATTCCAAATGTTCCAGACATGCCACTAATCTTTAAAACGTCGCCGAAATGCCACTGAACTAACAGATGTATCCCGTCAAACCCTGTTTGAAAAATAGTTTCATACGTGGAATGATTTAGCAGTTAAACTTGCCACATCAACAAAATCGCTAGATTTACCCTTTTGAAATAGGGGCAAATCCAATCAGCAATTATCGTTATGTTACTAGCGGTTCTATTGACATGGTAAATCTAATTTCTAACTCGTGGCACGTGTGAAACTTTGGTTAGCTATGTTATCAAATTCGTTAACTTTTCAAATACAATTGTGATAGTTCAGTGCGACCATTTCAAAGATGGTTTAAATTTCGGTGGCTTGTTGGGAACATTTGGGTTGCAATTGGGGATATTTTAGTCTCAGTATAGTGATGGCAAAAAAAATCCGCGCTGCCGCGAACCGAACCCGTCCCATGAATAATAAAAAAATAATTAACTACAAATTAAAAATAAAAAATAGTTAATTGGAAGTTTTTGAAAAAAATAAAATAATAAACAGGGCAGGCCAGCACCCTGACCCCACCCCGCCCCGTCTAAGGTGCAGGTGGGGCGCGGGGAGGTATGAGATGGGGTAGGGGAGTGGCGAGGTTGCCCCGCCCCGAACCTGCCCCGTTGATATCTCTGTCTCAGTAGTTATAATAGAATGGGATATTTTTCTCTGAGGTCCTTATTCTTTGAAAAATAAATCAATTGAGTGCTCAAATAATATTTTGACTTATAAGTGTTCAATTAGATGGAAACCGTTAATTACTCTGTTAAAATAGCGCATGACATACCCAAGACTCTTTTTGAGAGTGCTTTTTCTGTCAATCCACCACAAATCGACAAAAAGGAAATTGAAATGAAAAGGGAAAAATAATCGAAAAGAGAAGAAAATAATTAAAAGCCCTAACCTCCACAAAAAAAATAATAATAATAAATTAAGAAAAGAGAGAATAAGAACAGAATGCATGCATGCAAGCTGGCTGGACTTCTCATTAGCCACAGTTTAAGAAGAATTGAGAGTTATTGCGAGTGTTTATGAAAGTTTCATAATGAATTTGATCTTTAATTGGAACATGAAGTTGATAATCAGAATTTTGTATAGACAAAGTTGAAAATATATAGATAATTTGTTAGTATTCAAATTCCTTATTACACTGCAGAAACAAAATTCTTAAACATTGTGTGTTATATATTTATCTGTGTAATATCGAGTGAAATAAACTATGCAGCAGCACCATCATCGTCGTCTTGTGGTGGTTCATAATTCAAATCAGGTAGTTTGTAATGTTGCGGTCCAGCTGAACTCTGACCCGCCTCTTCTCTGCCTTCCATCGCCTCTGCGCCGGCCTGTGCCTCTTGCAATACATCCTGAATTGGTTCAACATGTACACCAGCAGCTGCACGGCCAGGATTCAGATGGCCGGCGACATCGGCGAACTCCTCTTCAGCCCTAAAAGTTGGCGGTGGGAATGCACCTTTCCACCCTCTATCGGGATGCTGTCGCATATGACCGAATAATGCCTTAGCCGATTGGAATTGTTTACCACAAACACGGCACTGAAAGGGATTTCCGACATCTGCCTGCCCGCCTTGATTTCCTGCAGGACCAGCACCAGGTTCACCTTCCCTTACTCTTTTCCTGATTATGGGGTTTCCAATCCCCACTCCACCAGCTTCATAGCCGCCGCCACCACTTCCACCCACCGCAATTGCCTGCGCCCCAAATAACCCACTGCCACTTACATTTCCACTTGCACTTGCAGCACCGCCAGATGATCCTCCACCCCCAGGGAATTTCCGTTGTGGTTGTGGGCCTTGTGGCCTATATGCCCTGAAGGCAGAGTGTCCCGGATTGCCCATTACAAGTGGAGGTGGAGGTGGAACCACGGGTGGCCTTTGTAACGGAGAAGAAATAATATTACTGCCGCTGCCACGTTGAGGGCTGCTTTGATCAGGCTGTTGTGGGCCTTGTGGCCTATGGGCACGGAAGGCAGAGTGTCCTGTACGGCCCATTAGGGGTGGAGCCATGGGTGGCCTTTGCAAAGGAGCTGAAGCTGCATTGGGAAAAGAAGTACTACCGCCGCTGCTTTGATCAGGCTGTTGTGGGTTGTTGGGGTTGGAAGAAGATCCGTCGGCGCCTCCACTACTGGTGTTCTTCATGATTGACTACTTATATTAAGGAGTGAGAAGTGTTCAAGATTAGAAGAACAGTGCTGTAATTTCGAAGATGACAACAATGGCAGGGACGCATACATTTATAGTGGAGGGAAACTTTTGAAAATGGTAGCGTTTCATCCCTGATCCCACCACCCGCGACTCATCGTAACGAATTGCATCATTTCATTGTAAACGGTCCAATGGGAAGGGACGGCTGGGATTGGTTCCCGGCGACGGTTTGTGAGCGGTCCGGTGCCATTTTCTTCAACTTCTGACTTCGCATCGTGTATTGTAAAAGGCGCGAAACGGAGGGTAACTTGAAAGACTAATATACCCCTAGTACAACTAAATATTACTGAAAATGATCATTTAATATATTTTTCTTTTTAATAAAAAGTAAGAAACACCAAATGTAGATATAAAGTAAAATTAAAGAAAGGAAAAAAAAATGTATTTCTAGAGTAAATTCCAAAGTCATCGGTTGAAGGATCATATACTTAGGTTCATTTAGTACATATTAAAATTTAGATTTTAATTTAAATCAAAATCAACAATTTATTTTAATCACGTATTGCACATGTCCAACAGTTTTTCAACCACACGTTTTATCATTTTATTAAAATTTACTAAAATCTAATTTTAATCCCTACCAAATAAAGATTTAAAATTAATATGTGACTAGTGATTTTACCCAATGAAATTATAGTTCTATTTATATTGTCACAAAAATGTATCAATTGTGATCTACGTGGTATGCGAAGTCGTAACCTTCTGTATTAATGCGATTGTATTAATATGAAAAGAGAAATTGTAGCCTAATAACATGTGTGACGTAAAAACGAAATAGAGCAATTGACATTGTAAGAATCGCATTATATATAATTTGAATTTAAAAATTAAAAATCACAAACATATTACCATAATTTATGGGAATGAGGAATGAGGATAATATAAAAAAAATATACTAAAAATATATTTAAAATATTTTCTAAAACAAAAAATACATTATTCGTGAATAAAAAATTATAATACCTGATTTTTTATGACAAAAAGTTAAAAGCATGGTTTCCTCTAATTTTCTCTCAAAGTCTTTATCATGAGGACTTTCAATTGACGAATCTTGAACTGTACTTCGATTTTAATTTGGATTCAAATTTAATTGCTCGTGTTTCTTTTATTCTTCGTAAGTTACGTTTCAAGGATTCTTGAATTTCAAGATATATATTTGTTTAATTCATAAAAGATTTATCGATTAATCATATCAACTATACCATCGAATTATAATACTTTGTAATCAACATTGAATATGCAACTGAAGGTCTTATAAATTCCTGTAAATCATCTGAAAAAATTACAAGTGAATTATTCGAATAAAGTGATGTAACAAACTTAGAATGAAAATTCAAAAACCCTAAAATATATTCTAGTGGTCGGTGAGTAGAAAGCGAAACTAAATTGTCTAAATGTTGACCTTTTTAGGAACCGATGTTGCACCAAACTCAATAACGTAGTCGTATCGGCCGGGGTCGGTCTTGATCGCAAAAGGAGCGGAACATGAATAACAGTTGATTTTGAACCTCCATATCGGTATGTCAAATAATGTTTCCCATCCCGCCTCTTCCTTGGCTGCTTCAAATCTGTTGCCCTTTCCCATAAAGAAGCCACAGTGTTCGCAATACACGTTGAATGGTAGCGTCATCTTTACCTTAAACTTCTGCAGTTTCTCCGGTATTGGCTTCTTCAAAATCTTGTGAACCTCCAATTCTGATGAAGAAAAGCTATTCATTGCCATGGCGAAACAATAAATTTCAATGTGAAGAAAAACTCACTCACTTTCAAGATCGATTTTTCTCTCTTTGTTTTGCTCTGTGCGCATGTGTATTTATATAGGTGTCGCAGGTTTTCAATTTGGATTCGGATTCGAATTCTGATTAATGTTAAGAGTCAAAATTTGGTAAGTTGCCTTAAAGAAAGAAAANGTCAAAATTTGGTAAGTTGCCTTAAAGAAAGAAAAGGCAACTTTTACAATTTGGAATTATATTTCATAATTTACCATTACAATTTTTTTCCATTTTAAGGACGACTATCACCTAATAAAATATTATGTAGCCTAGCCCATGTTGACAAAAATCAACTTTTTATTCAAATTTCACATTAAATTTAAAAACGGTTGAGATTGAGATAATTTGAAGTTTATTATTCAAACAATTGTGATTATTAAATCAGAAACATAACATAAAATCAATAATGAAAATAGTAATAAGAAAAAAGTAGAAACATATAATTACCACTTGTTGGATTTCAAATAGAGGGCGAGTACTGGGGCAACGCCATTCCCTGCTCGATCCATACAGTGACTTCGATGCATTGCATTGCATCAATTTAAATTGCAGTAGATTATATTATGAGAATTCACAATTAGTTCGCCAAGGGAGAAGAAAATTGCTCTCCTTCTCTCACATTCACATATTATTGGATAATTCAAATGTACCTCGTCAACCATTCCCGTCTGAATAAAACTTACACCAAGGATCTAGCTAAATGATAGCCGTAAGGTTTGCTCTCGTCTGAGTTTCTGATACCGTTATTTTAACTTACACCGGACATCTTTTCATATGACACCTACAGCCGACGATCCAGCACTATTAATCTCTTCCCACTTCCACCGAGGTCATTATTTACAAAACAGGACTTGCTCAATTTTCATAACACTATCCACTCTTCAACCTACTAGGTTTGAGCAGTTGATATCTGCTCATGGCAAGTACGAGGACCCAAGTTGTTGCAGAGATCTTTTCCTTTATCATTAACAACAATGCTGAGCTTAATACAGTCTTAAAGATTTGAGCTTGTAGTCCCTTAAAGAAGCCGAGCACACCTTCTTTTTGCCAAATAGCACGAAGAACGCTAGAAACTGTTTTACGGGATTTTCTTTTGGATTTTTTATCCATATCATCATTGGTGTCTGCAGCTTGGATCATGACTTTACACCTGGTTGTATTTTGTAATTAAAGGGCTGTATAAAGATGATAAATGCAATTGACAAGAGAATGGACTAAGCAAGAAGAACCTGATTGCTGGATAAGTTAGAACTGTGGCTATGCTCTTTGAGAGTGCACCTAAAATGAAAGCTGAGAAGGCAGAAAGGGCTTCTGGAGATGATCCTGTCTCAATTTTATTCTGCTTCTGCATGAGTCTCACTTTCAGTTGATCAAATACCGTATACTGGGGAGATCATTAATCCAGGATCAGGATGTAGCAAACAACTATCTTCAATAACAAAATTGTCTTGCAACAGATAGCATATCTTGAATTTCTACGTCTTTGTCATACTACCATGACATTTGGTACGTAGGAGTCAAAAGTATGGGACAATATGAGAAAAAAGCTAAAATTTCGTTCATTGTAATATTCATTCCTATAGAATATATACCAAATGTTAAAGTATAGATTATTGCTTTACTTCATACTATAACTTTAAAGTACCTGAATGGCCGGATTGGAAGTCAACAGAAGAGATATTCCAAGGCCATCATACGCATCACTCCAACTGCCTTCAGCAAGTGTTTCCCAAAGCCCTTTAGATTTTCCAAAAGCAGTAGTCTGCATCCTTGAGGAAGCTGTATCCAGTGGCTACACAACAAGATGAGAGAATTCGATATTAGACAAGCAGCAGCATTTATGTTCATTATTACTACATGAGATATAATAGAACTTACAGAATGCTCCAAAAAATGATAAATGCATTGATCAGGATGTAGCTTTAGTTTCTTTAAACACGTTAACTCATAAATTAAATGAAAATAAAGAACTTTAAAATATTAAAACAGTGGACAAATGGAAGATAATCTAAAAATTTTGTAACTTCTGTTTAGTTATATTGCAAACGAACATTCTCAACCCCAACCAAAAAGAAGAAAAGGAAACAGCCCCGCCACTGCGCAGTGTTTAATATGAAGATTTACGTAATAAAGTCCACTTCATTAAGCAGCAAAGATTTGTCTGCCGAGGACAAGAACCATGATGATAGTACAATGTAGACTCAGAATGCAGTTCCTATTTGTTCTTTTCTAGTCTTGTGTGTGAGCGTGTGTGAAACAGACAGAAGGAGAGAGAATCTCTTCATATAATCATGCAGAAGATTAATTGAAGTACTTCAATTAAGAACAAGATAAAGAAATACAGGTGGCATTTACAGATGTAGTTCTTGATATGACGGATCTAGACTACCAAACATTTTGCCTGCTTGATAATAACTTCACTTAAAAGTTTAGGTACACATGACGTGGCTACAAGTCCAAACAAAAATTAGGTTCAGTGGGAAGACATCAAAATGGACATGGTTAAAAATTAGATCCAGATAAATTTGTCATATCTTCTTACTTGAGTAACGATGGCAGTGCAAGCCCCAGCTGCCGCAGCAAGAACAAGATTGGCTTTTGTTCCAATAGATTTGGAACCAGTCTTAGCCAGATAGAGCCTTTTAAAGTAGCTATATCCATAAAAATAGACAAACTGAGCAAAAAAAGATTGCAGGTTCTTGGTCGCAAGTCCCTGATATAATGAAAGGACCTGTTTGCTGGATATTGCCTCCCATAAAACGTCTGACAATTTTCTGCCGTGCACAGAATAAATGAGTTCAAAATTTGAACATGAATAATATTACAACATGCGCACAAGAGAAAAACCAGTAAAAAACAGGCAGCTTGATTTACTAAACTGGTACAGTTCCCCACATTTTTATGTTTTTCAAAAACAGCATGCATAGCCCATTTATGCGTGCCAAGTAAAATTACTCATCTGATTTGCACTTAGTATTTATTAAAGGCTAATTTTCCCTCTAAAGTTCTAGACAACATGTTTTAGCATGTAAGTCGTCATGTATCATTCCCCACCCCCACCAAAAAAAAATAAAATTCATCATTTGTTTTCTGGTGGTACTCTGGTAGGCATTAAGGACTTAAATGTGGTCAGAGGCTTTTCCTTATATTTCTTTCAGCTAACTAAAGGAAAAATGTCATAGATCCTAAATATATCCCAATCCTATGATCAGAAACCTTCAACATATTATGTAAATACATATTTTTCTTATGTTAACGAAGGAAAAACATAACATGAAATAGAGCAAGCAGATCGACAGGCCTTCATGAAAACTTCAAAAACCTCTGATAGAAACAGAACTGGAAACTTTGCTTTAATTCTATGCAATAACAGCTAACTTCTAAATTACGAATAAGCCCCTCCAATATTCTCAAAAAGAGCACAAATGCCTTGTATTTGTTTGACAAATATTTTGTAGTCTAAGGCCCCAAAGCAGGGTATTATCAAATTAAAATTCCCCTGCAAATGAAATCTACATAAAGGCCTGATCGGATTGCTCCAAATTTCGTGACATAACTTGATATCAGTTAAAGGTTATAAAATCAATCATTATCAGGAGGAGAATACTGCAAAATGAAAACTTCCAATGCAATGTTCCTTTTGCTTTCAATTATATGATAATGAAATTGAGTAAATTTAAGCTAATCTCTTAAACATGAAACAAAGAAGTCATCAAAGAATCACCATAATCCAGTCTGAAAGATGGCATGCAACAGCGAAATACAGATGAAAAAGTACTACAAATGGAATTGAAGAAGACACACCAAAACTTGGATGACATAAACAAAATTACCATTTTAAAAGTGACTGTTGGAATTTTTTGAACTTTCACATTGCTTAAAAGAAATTTTTTGACATGCATATTTTCTCTTTTGAAAAAAATGATAACAAGCCAAAGTTATGAAAGAACATAACATGTAAAGTAAAATCAAATCAAATGAGCCATATTTAACTGTCTGTGCTCCAAATGAGACACAGTAATAGTTACAAAGTAACAGATTATAGGGCAAATTGAAAAAAGCCATACATTTTATCAAGGCAATAGTCATTGTACAGTAAGACACATCCAAATTCCAAATAAGGAGCAGATTTCAATACATTAGAATAGCCGCAATCTCTAAAACATATGAAAATCAAACAGCGATCCTATATGTGATCCGGCAGATCAAATCTTTTGGTATAACATTGGAGAGAGTAATACATAATGCAGGCCTTCAGATGGCTAAACAGGCATCATTGGCCGCCCTGCTCATAAATTTGCCATAAATAACCAGCATCGCAGTGAAACTTATCTAAAATAGCGTAAATTAAAAAAGCACGAGAATCTCTCCAAAAGATGGGATACTTGGTCCAGCAAATGAAATTGGGAGAGGAAGTTCTTAGAGGATATCTCAACAACTCAACCTCAATCAAGCAAACCATAAGATTATAAAAGCTACATGATCAACAAAAGTCCTATGAACATCACCAACACCAAGATGATATTAACAAATTTGAGCTGACAGGTTCAACAGCTTCAAGTCTCAATATTTTAGGTTTGAAGTCATCTCTACCTATTGAATTGTATTGCACTAGACATTTTCACTTCAGTACGTCGAGAATATTTATTCTCAGCACAAGTTTGTTTTTTAACTCTCTTATTTTCTCAAAAAAGGAACCTTGCAACTAATACAGATGATGAGATCCATAATTCATCATCCAACTGTTTACATCAACTTGCAGACATCAATATTAACGGGATTAATTATTTATCATATAGAAATCAAACCGATCCCACCTCTAGCCTTCACCGACTAAAAACTTTATACAATTAAAATTCAGTTATCGTGAATAAATTATGAATCACAAACAGAAAACATCAGCAGCGCAAACCCAAAGAGAAATCACGGTGTGTATTACCCTGAAGAAACAAAAATAATAAGAAGAAGAGACGAAAGACAATTTATACCTGTATCTACGGCGGCCGTGGGCACGAATCTCGGCTTGGTATTTGGCCTTGCAGGTGTCGAGCGGGTATAATATGGTGGTGCTCACCACCGCACCTATAGCTCCCGACGTCGCCTCCGAAATCGATTCCAGATCAGCCGACACCGACATCTCCTCTTTGAATGTCGATTTCACACAAATTACGTGTGTAAAAGTCTGTGATCTTCAAGTTCATCAACTATTGATCGTATATTGAAGAAACAGGAACAGGATCAAGAACAGAATTGCCAATGTGATGAGGAGATCATTGAAGAAGAATGATAAAAGACAGACAGGCAGGTGGAAATGATATAGGGAGATGTGATGGCTGCTAGAAAGTGACCAGGGGAAGGGTTTTCGATTGTCGTTTACAAAAATGCATGATGTATAATGTACAGTCAAAATTTCACATGACAACCCACCCCGTGGGGGGTGGGTGGAAAAGTAATCGTGGATCCCATCAAATGTATGTGAGGGGATCGTCAAAAATTAATGTCAAAATTAATATAAGTTTAGCATTGGTCGTTGGTTTAGGATCCAAGTTTTTCTTGGGGAACGTGAACAACTTGAATGTATGTTTTATCAGTTTTGTTACAGGTACACCTTGGTTAACACTTGTAAGGTAATCAACATTTTCTTGTCTTGTTCGACGTCCTAATTTTTCGAAAAAATGGAGTTTTGAAATAGTAATTTATCAGAAAATGTATTTAAAAAGTAGTAAATAAAATTTTTTGATTTACGTAGGAAGTATATTTTATCGTCAGAATATGTTCTTGAAAATGAATTTTAAAAAAAAAATGTTGGAAAAAAAAGGCTAAATATTGGTTCACCACGATGGAGGTGGATGAGCGGAGCAGCAAAGAGTTTTTTGATTTTTGGATTGAGTTTTGTTGAGAAATGTGAACAACGTGAATGCATGTTCTACGACTTTCCAACTCTAAGTGCATATTTGATAGAATTTATTTGGAAATAATGAGAAATGGAATAGTATTTTTTTGAGAATGTGTAGTTAAAAAGTAAGAAAATTTTATTGATTTGTGAATGTGCGGCGTATAAATAATATTGTAACAAACAATTTAATTTTTTAAAGGATGACAAACATGATTTAAATATTAGTTCATGATAGGTGAGAAGTAGGTCAACCTACGAGCATGGATCAAGCTGTGACAGTGACGGATTCAACACAAAAGTTCAGTCCGGGCAGACGTTGTTATGTTGACCATTGACCGTCGACAATCAGTGATCGTAAGAAC